TGGCGTCTAAGAGCTGATCATCCATGTTTTCGAACATTGGAACCTGCAACACAAGTTGGAATTGATGTCAATTAACTAAATTAATTTCTTTGGATGATACATATTATCTAGTGTTATTCTAAACGCTAAATGTTAAATGGGAAATGCGGCCGATTAAATGGAAATTGATATACCACCGTGTAACGTTTAAACGATGTGTAAATCGTGTAGCCATTGTCATTGGAATCATGATGGGTTTGAATCTCACGTATTGAATGGAACAAAGAGGAAAGCAATTCCTTATGACTATCAATAAATAAAGCTTAGTATAGGGAAGTAGTACCCTCATGAGAAGTGATAGACAAAGATGACGCTTTATATCCCTCCTGAGATCCTTAGGAAGATTTATAAGAAGACCCTCTTCATCCACACCTTGTGTTTCTTGCCATCTATATTGATCATGACGCAATATTCGTTGCTTGATATGCTCTGGAAGTAATCTGTATGCCATCCATTGCTCTGTGTCACGTCTTATCACTCTCATTTCCTCCATATGCCCAGAGGCTGATTGTAAATAGGTCTGCAACAATTCAATCCAACCAGGAAAAAGAAAATAAATTTGGAGAAATATGATCAGGTCAAACATCATCACTAGTTATATAATTCAACATGTTGTCCAGACTTACTCCTTAAACAATGACCTCTTGCATATAGCTAGCATAAGTACAACGAAGTCAAAACATACGGAATCATTTTAAGGATAAATCTCTATGGCCAATTCTTATAGAGAAATGGGTTTTCATAGCTAGCTCATTCAGGATTGTATCAAAAATGTCACTTGAATTTCTTGCAAACAATGAAACAAAGATCTTAAAGTTGATTTAGTCCATGCTATTTTGATAAGAGTTTGATAATAGCCAAGCTGGTACCGGTATCAATTACAATTAGAGGCAACAAACATGATTATGTTGTCCAGCATAAGGCCATGAGATTCTTTATAAAGGTCTTGGAAGGCTAGAATCCCGAAGGATGAGCCTACTAGGAGCGACATCATCTCTAGACAGCAAATACAGAGCTACATAACATGTACTTTAAATAAATTGACACTTAATCTAAAAGCACAGATAACAATAAAATTTCATCAATGTTTAAAAGTTAAAACTGTACCTGCACATTTCCTATAAGGAGAGCAAACAAAACTAAACCTGACATTGAGACAAAAACAGCAAACAGATTCTCCCATATGTAAGTGCTTGTTTTAAGGTTTTGACCATAGGAACTGCAATACAAATGGCAACACATAAGTACAAGTCCCAGGGCATTAGTCTTTGGTGGTAGTGTGTGTGTGTGGGGTTGGGGGTGTACCATAGATTTTGTAGCCCCCACCAAAAGCAGTAGAATAATTTTTCGAAGAAACCTGTTGATTGTGAAACATTCTGGAGAACTGGTAGATAAATTCCAAAGATTGGATCTACATCGGCGCCGCCATTTATTGAGCAAGCATCTTGTAAGAAAGTGTTGTTTCCAAATGCAGTACTTCCACAATATAAAGTTGCCAGATCACAACCATACTGGTTATTACAAGCTTCTCTCCAACAGGTGTCTTCTCGTTGTATGGCAAGAATGTACCAAAGAGCTCCAAGGACCTGTAACAAGTCAATGCATCGGTTAGTACTATCTTGACCATGCACAATGTGATATATGTAGCAAATTAATTGTGTTAATCTAATCTTGAGGCTTAGCCTGTGTGAATCGAGAAAAGAATGCATAGTTGCAGAGGAAAATCCTTTTTTAATGAAGAGAGATAACATCGTCGCAAACACGAAAATACGAGTAGGTTGCAATTATTTAATTTAATTTAATTGTGCCTGCCAAGATTTGAGATCGAGACAGCATGCACTGACTAGTTCAGCCCAAAGACTAATTGATAAGAAAAAAAAGGTGGGTAGGTCACATATTCCAACAGTATTGATAAATGATTAGAGGACTTACATGACTAGCGAGTATGTAAACTAGAAGGTTAAAGGCAGCACCCGGCCATGCCGTATCCATTACTGTACCAGCTGATCTCGTGATTTCAAGGTAGAGTGGAATTATTCTGACCAGTCGAGGCACATATTGGAACAAGATTATGAACATCAATACTTTTTTAGCGGTCATAACCTTTGAACCTTGGAGATGTGGCCGCATTAACAACACAAAAACCTGATAAAAAAACATGCATCAAGGTCAAGTGCAGAGTTACGACGTCCTGATATCCTAAAAATCAATCTTCTGTGTCAAAAGACTTTGCATGCTGTTAGATATATAGCTCAATTCTTTTCTTGGAACACATGTGGGGTAAAAAATAGGGTACCTGAGGGAGAGGCAGAATAGCTAAGATATCAATCAGAAAATATGTCGATAGATACCGTTTTGCTATTGCCAACATGTCATCAACCAAGACACCGCGACCAAACGCTCCAGAAGACGAGGGAGCTGCGAAGCCTGTCCTGAACTGGAATATTACGCGGAGTAAATAGAAGGCATCGGTGAGAGAGCGCAGGATGCTAGCTATCTTTTGAAGATTGTCATCCAGATACAGGCAGCTGTTGTCGCCATCGATCGCCGGGGCATAGAAGAAGAGCGAGTCCACGGAGACTGAAACAAGGCATGATATCACAAATATCTTGTTCCATTTCTGTAGAAATGGCCCCCGAGGATCAAGAACTCTTGCGCTGGGCTTCATTTCTTTCTTTCCTTTTTCCAGCGCAGGATGCTAGCACTAGCAGGTTACAATGTCATCCGATCCAATGAATTGCTCTGATCTCCAGTTCTAAACCCTGCACGTGCTGCACACGAAATTTAGTTGTCAGAGTAAGACATTTCGGCAAAGATTGATCACCAATCGAAGCTTGGGGGATTCAGTCCACTCCAGCGTGAACTTGATAGAGCTGACAGACACAAAAGATTGCATTGCAATGCATGAATGCAGGATAGGATCAGAGAAGCTTACCCCTCGCAGTCGCAGTGACAGTGACAGTGCCATTGGTTCCTCACTTCCGGCGGCAAGGCAGAAACAGTTACTCCATTCGTGAAGGTGAAGCTTACGCCTCTCTGAATGACAATCACCTGCCAAAGTGCCAATCGCCGACGTACGGAGAATAAAACCTCGAAAGAATCAGCTTTTGTTTCGAGGAGGCGTGGCGGCCGAGGTGGCAGAGTTGGGAACAATGGAGCAGGGACATGAATGTGGATATTTACAAGGGACAAGGGTCGACGAGGCGGCGGAGAAGACCAAGCTCAACGGACAGCCTTGGATAGTCTACTTCACCGTGCATGCTGGACTCAGGACTCCGATTCGATTGGGTAAGCTTTTGGTAGAGACCAACTGTGGGGCAGGTGCCCAGGCTTGCTCACCGTGGCTCGCCATTGGATATTAACTAAGTATATGTTATTGATATACTCCTCCGTTCTAAATTACTCCCTCAGTCCCACAAAACATGTAATCCTGCAGTTTAAATCCATGTAATCCTATAGTTGAGTTGAATGACATAAGAGGAGCGCGTGCGTAATTTCATATTTCCACTAAATTTGTCTTGAAAAGTAAGATTTACATGTTTTGTGGGACGGAGGAAGTACAAGTCATTTCAACTTTCTTGAAAGTCAAAGCATCTCAAGTTTGATCAAAATTATAGAGAAAATTACAAAAATTTGTAACATCAAATAGTTATATTATGAAAATATAATTAATAAAGAATCTAATGATGATTATTTGGGTATTACCTCGGTCACAAAAAAGATGCAACTATGGGTTGCATGCCCGTTAAAGCGCTTTACATTTGACTAAGTTTGTAGTAAATAATATTCACATCTATGGCTCTAAATCAATTTATTATGAAAATACATTTCGTAATTAATCTAATAATATTTATTTAATATTATAAATATTTATACTTTTTTATCTATAATTGATCAAACTTGATATACTAAAATATAATATTGTTCTAGAATTGCATTCTTCTGGACGGAGGGAGTATCATAAATGTTATTATTTTATTATATAGGCCATGTTCGCTTCTCTTATAATCCGTCCTTTTCAACTTGTTTTTTCAGTCGGAACAGTGTTTTTCTCTCACAGCAAATCAGCCGGAACAGTGTTTCGGCTTGTTTTTTCAGCGAAGCGAACGGGGCCATAAATCTGGTCAAACTTTAGATCCTTTGATTCTCCAAGAAAGTTGAAATGGATATCATAAATGTTATTATTTTATTATATAAATTTAGTCAAACTTTAAATGCTTTAACTCTCCAAAAAAAGTTGAAATAGTTTGTTTGGTTCAGAGGGAATACATTTACAATCGCTTTCACCGCGGACGCTAAACCATTTAGCATTTTAGGAAAATACATGTAATTTATACGCTAGAACGGCCATTGTTCTAGCCAAGATTCAAATGATTATTCACATTGCATATAAGAGATAGTAGGTAGGTAAGACATAACATTAAAAATGAATCTTGGCCCTCTAGCGGGTTTTGGTAGTTGAATGACAGGACAATTGAAAATACTAATGAGTTTGATAAGTCTTGAATAGGTCTTTTTTTGGCAGGGCTAGATTCTTTTCCTAAAATTACGCCTTATTTTATATTCCACCGGACCTCTGGTCTCAAAAAACATATGCTACGAAGACATAAATTTACCACATGTACACGTGGTTTGAAATTTTACACTTTTGATCCCATCACAAATCGCCACAGCGTCACACGTGAGCATATCCAAAGTTAACAAACAATCCTTATAGGAAAAAAGTTAACAATTGATCGATTACATTCACAGCATCTTCTTTTTTTTTCAAATGCACAAGAGGAATTCGGATGTTTATAATACACGCAACATGTATACAATCGAAATATACACTAAAATACATGATTTAAACCAGAAGGCATTAGAGCACCTGATCTGTCTATCTACAGCATCCAATCTTAAATTTGTGAACAAATTTTACCAGTTGGATCATGAATGCCTGCTTGCTACAGGGTACAAGTTCAGCTATCTTCAGCGAAGAAGTTGGGTTCTGCTGGCTTTTGTAACAGTCTTGCAGGTACTCTTTCCTGCAAACGGGCCTTTCTGGTGGTGTTTCTCCGTAAGATACGCATCATGTTGCCAGCAAAACGTGAAGCATAGAGCGCTGCACCAAGACTGAGCGAAGTAGTGCCATCACTTACAATTGCTGCTTGTAACCTCTTCTCCTTCTCATATAAAGCCTCTTCCAGCTTCTTTCTGCAGTATCTGTGCCAAGCTGCCTGTATGAAGCAAGCAGCCCACGTCCTCCATTGCTGTGAGTAAAATCGGAAAGTATGTTGGAGCTGTTTGCTGTGGAGCCTCCTGAATTGCGTGGCAACAAACTTCAAGTCATCAGCCCTCAGAGCAAAAGCTTCAACTTCAGACAACGTCTTCACTGTCCTAGTTGAGACAGGAAGATTTGAAGCTGAAGTGGGGTCAAGGGCCCATGTGAGGAGCTCTTCACCACAGAAGTCTCCACCTTTTAGAACATTAGAGTTGAAGAAGCCAGTTTGACCACCATTTGTTGTGGTACTCTCTAGTGTTCCTCTCATGATGAAGAGCATTTCATTCACTGGGTCACCTTCGCGAATGATGCAGCTTCCTTCTGTGTACAGCATAGGCTTTAGACGATCACACATGGCATCCAACAGCTGTTCATCCATGTTTTCAAACATTGGAACCTGCAAACAGCAGCAAAAGGTTAACCATGCTAATAAGTAATAACATACTAAGGTATGGCAGCTGTTCACTAAAACATGACATTAAAAGAAAGTAATATTGAATCAAGTATAAAAGGTATAGATCCCATCCAGAAATTTATTGGCTCAATAAAGTCTTCAAATGTTATTAACTGCTATTCAATTTTCTATGGTCATGCAACCAAAGCTCATGTCAGGAATTTCCTGAAACATGTCTATTGCAATTCAGACATATTTTGAAGGGATCTGGCATTGAGATGATAGAATTCAACCTTCTAGAACAACTTAATCTCCATTGAAAAAAGAAGTTGGCAAAGTACAACTAGCTTTGCAGATATTCAAGAGAAAGTGAACGTCCATGCCGCATAGGCTGGCAAAGGAAGCTAATCTCAGAATTTCCTTTTCTGTCAATATCTATTACCCAAGAACATTATCTAATTGGGCTTTCCCCTCCTCTTCCACAATCAGCACATAAATTGAATCAAGTTCCATCTAGCATGACAGAGTGCTGTTGGAGTGGATGAAGACGGTCAAATGATAACAGTATTGTTTCTTCATATAAGGCACGAATTGTATGAACAAGCTCCTCATATACACAGTTCAAACTTCAAAGTACCATTAGGCCTGTCTAAAACAATACATGGGGGAAATTAAACATTCTGCCTTGCTGAAACAAAAACATTTCCACCAGACACCATCAAACTTCAGCCACGAGTTGCACTAAAGCCCAGATAAGAGCCTGACTTGGTCCAGAAGATAACCATACCTGGCACCTGCTAATCCTATGCTTAGCAGAACCATACAACATAAGAAACCAGGAGCTTCTATTTACGATTTAAAACACCTACTACTTCAAGAACTTGTGGTCCTTGGCAAATAAGGCTAGGCATATATATATCATCAGCACATGGGCGCATGGCAATAAGTCAAAATATCCAGTCAGCATGGATGCTGCAGATAAATGCTATCTCAAGGAGAAAGTACTTGAGAGTGTTGTTACTATATCCATAACCATTCAACCATACGTCCATACACCACAAGTTCAACCAAATCACATAAATGTTCAGGGAAGCACCTTCATGAGAAGCGACAAACAAAGATGTCTCTTTATCTCTCTTCTAAGATCCTTGGGAAGATTTTTAAGAAGGCCCTCTTCGTCAACCCCTCTTGTTTCTTGCCACCTATATTGTTCATGGCGCATAATCCGATCCTTGAGATTCTCAGGGAGTAGCCTATGTGCCATCCACTGCTCTGTATCACGCCTTTTCACTCTCATTTCTTCTATACGCACAGAAGCTGACTGTAAATAGGTCTGCAATTCACCAACCAAAAAAAGAAAATTATATAATATGGCACGCACAAAGCTTAGCTGACTAGTTAGTAACCAAGTAGTTAATGGTTAAACTAATAGTTCCTGCCTCAAACTGAAATAATGAGGCTGTTGTCCTTTATTTTTCTCAAACATGCTGTTGTCTTCAGATATGGCATGGTACACTGCAGGACCAGAGACGATAAATAAAGGAAATGGACTGGTATAGCTAATTAATTGTGGGTTATAATGAGAAGACCAATCAAAACATTTAGAAATAAAGATCTAAACATGTATGTTAGCCTATTTTATTTTTCAAAACAACCAAATTGTTACCAGTACCAGTTCTAATTAGAGGGATGATTGTGGTGTCAACTGCAGAGTTAGTAACTATTGCAGACCTGGTACAGGGCATGGCCCCCACATTTATGAATACAGGCCTATAATATATGGATCTAGCTGTTTGAGGCAAATATTAATATTGAAGGTAATAAAAGACAACTTATCTTTAAAAATAAATAAAATAAGATTTCTGATGCTTTCCAATTTCAGTTTTTTTTCCATCAGTGTATCAAGGAAAAGCATTTAGTGCAGAATCACTTGAGCACTTAACTTCAGAGAATTATGTAAACAAAATGTTCCTGTATATTTGGTACTAGCATGGTGTGAATATTAAAATGAATGAGCTCAATCTATAGGCAGTTCCATTTTTCACGTTTATCCAATTAATTTGACTATAATCACGTGACTATGCATGGATCCTTTGGAAGCATCGCAATGCTTGTGTCTTCGATGGAGCTCCACCGAGGATTTCTAGCCTCATGCAGGCTTTCAAAGATGAGGAGTTGTGGTGTCTCGCGGGAAGCCTACGGACTCTCGGTCGAGGTCACGGCTTGGGCTAGTTAATTCTAGTTTGTAAGGGTTTTTGGTCAGGCCTCATCCTTCTGTTTTTTTTTTTTTTTTTTTGTTATCAATGCAAACTTTTTGTTTCATTAAACCCCTCATGGCTTGGACCGGAGTGAGGTGGTGGTGTTCATGTGAGGGGCCGATCCTTTTTTTCCTCCCTATAATACAAAAGGTGCGCAGCTCTCCTGTGCATTTGAGAGGAAAAAACGTGACTATGCATCAAAATTATGCAGTGAGATTTTAGCATAACAGATTAGAACTGCAGGTGCACATCCAAAGATTCCTTTCCATATGTTGGCCTTATTAATACTAATTAGTTACCACTTAATCGAACAACATACATTACAAGAATATATCAACAATGCCAAAATAGTGTCTGTACCTGCACATTACCAATAAGTAGTGCAAATAGAACCAAACCCGATGTCGAGACAAAAACAGCAAACAGATTCTCCAACGTATTAGTGCTTGTTTTCATGTTCTGGCCAAGGGAACTGCAATAAATAAACCAATATATAAATGTGCATAGACAGGAAAAAAAAACTGGAAGCTAATTTTTCTTAGCAAACCTTAGATTCTGTAGCCCCCACCAAAAGCAATAGAATAGTTTTTCAAAGAAACTCGTTGATTGTGAAACATTTTGGAGAGCTGGTAGAAATATTCCAAATATTGGGTCTGGATTGGAATTGGAAGTGCTATTTGTTGGGCATGCACTTTGTAAGAAAGAATTATTTGCAAGTGGATGATAGCCACAGAATAAAGATGTAGGATCACAGCCAGTCTGATTGATACATGCTTGTCTCCAACAGGTGTCTTCTTGATGGATGGAAAGAATGTACCAAAGAGCTCCAAAGCCCTGTAAGTAGTTACAACATCAGTTTGTGATATCTTCACCACATACGTTGAATCATGGGTATTAAAATGCATTTTATCCGGAGGTTGGCCATCTCATTTAAGAGATTTATGGTGCTTGGGAATTATAATAACCATTCATTACCCAGATCCAATGGTTAAAAATGAAAGGTACCTAGTAAAAGGTACTTGAGTTGTGGACTGATTCACAAATATATGGACCAGGAACCAATTTAAAGATTAAGAGCAAGGGTATATTGGTATTTTTGTCCTCCCGTCTGATTATAGCAGGAGGGTAATTTACTGCTAGTGGATCTTCAATCATTGTTCATCCTTTCTTGAGTTTACGATATAACAGAGACCGAGGACGACGCTGCCTCAGCTTTAAAGTACAGCAAGGAACCTAGCAGCAAACAGAACGGCTGGTAGATTTAGAGCGCACCAGAGCATGGTGGCAGGCATTTGCTGAATCAGTGCGCACGCACGCGCCTGACCCAACCCCCCGGCCGAGAGCTTTCATGTCACTGCTGGAGAAGGTGGGTGTGGAGCTGTCCACTACGCACTCTCGTGTTTGGGGAAGGACAACGCAATGAATGAGCCATGTGGTGCAGCCCTGAGGAAACCCTAACAAGAGAACACTGACACAGCAAACGACCAATCCATCTATCGATTTCTCGTCTTCATTTCCTCCCTGACGCTTCTCATCATGGCCAACCGGCCGCTAAAGCACTATTCCAGTGTTTGGTGATGAACAGTAGGAGCAGTTGGTTTTGGTGGGGTTGAGACAGACAACCAGCAACAAAAATCTGAGACAGGGAGACTAGCTATAAGAACAATTACCGAAAGGACCACGTTTATAATAATTTCTATTCCTAGCCTTTTTCTTGGGAAGATCAACGGCCTGTAAATGTTAATGCGAAGGTAGATGAGGTACTTCTCAAAGGTTGTAACTCGTAATACATCTCATGTAATTATCTGGAGGCAAACCGTCTAATGGAAAACTCAATTATCTGATGACTATTGAGTTGACTGCACCAAAGTTTAAGCTGATGAGAAAATGTGAGCAATTCACTTATATTTCAACACTCCACGTTCACGCCTCCCTTAGATGTTTAATAGGAACAGCAACAATTATTTTTTATTAAATTGAGCTAGCTAGGATTAAAACTCGATACCTCTAGCCCTGATACCATATTGAGTGGCATGTGCCAACCAGTTAACCAAAAAGCTTAAGCTAATGGGAAAATGTAGGCAAATCACTTGTATTTCAAGAATGACAAACTAGCTGGTCCACATATTACAAGGTTTTGTAGTATTTGTACTGCTTACTGGTTATATAAGATGTTGTGCATCAATAGTGTCTATTTCAGACTGCTCCACTCCAGATTTAGCACCACAACAATAACTCTACAGTGGAGTAGCTCCACCATGGAGCAGGGAAAGGATGTGTTTGGCTTACAGCTCCAGGAATTGGAGGTTTTGTGGGAATGGTTTATTGTGACCGTGTGCATTGTATGTATCTTGTTTGGATGTAGCTTGAGTGATACATTAATTATGGTGCAAATATATAGAGTGATCGTGAGTTTCTTGCAGATTTTTCAAGAACACAGAGTTTGGTGTCTATTTCAGACTGCTCCACTCCACCAGATTTAGCACCACAACAAAAACTCTACAGTGGAGTAGCTCCACCATGGAGCAGGGAAAGGAGGTGTTTGTGACCGTGTGCATTGTATGTATCTTGTTTGGATGTAGCTTGAGTGATACATTAATTATGGTGCAAATATATAAAGAATAATCGTGAGTTTCTTGCAGAATTTTCAAGAACACATAGTTTGTTGCAGATTTTTGGAAACTATCTTTAAGGAATAAAAAAATCCTAAAAGTAGCAAACTTTATTGAATTTTCATTCCAAATCTATAAGGGCTTTTGAGCTCAAATAAACTCAAATGAATCGCACTAGAGTTGTAGTTTACACATAAAACCTATCATTAATCTTAATGGACATTTGTACTATCAGAGAAATTAGAGAAAAATAGAAAAATATACATTTTCATTGTACAGCTACTTTAGGCCTCTCCCTCTTCTCTGTAAACACGTGTTAGGTCTTAGAAGCTAGAACCATTCTAAAGCATTCTAGTTCACCAACATAATTAAACTATTTCATTATACAGCTTAATAAATCAACATAATTAAACTATTTCACATTCTAGTTCACCAAACCATGCATGAATTGCTCTTGGGAAATCTGGAAGCACCGAAATGACTATGTCTTTAATGGCGCTAGCCCAAGCATCCCTATCTTACTGCAGACTATCACCGATGAATGCATTTTGTGGTGCGCAGCAAAAGGGCTTCAGGAGTTGCTTGCTAAGGCACTTGCTGGAGGCCATTGATGTTTCTGTTGTTGCTAAGGCTCTTGCCGCCTTGGATGGGTCATTTTTCTGTTTCTTGTCACGGGTGTTTTTAATGTCTTGCTGGATTTGTTGTGTGTCCTGGTGTGAGTGTGTTTGTGTGGGGGGATTTCTTCCCCTTTGTTTCTTTTTTTTTCTTAATGAAATGATGCGCAGCTCTCCTGCATGTTGAGAAATAAAAACATTCCAACCAGATACCTACACGATCGATGCTAAAACACAGAGCATGACTCTGAGCTGAACCTGTCCGCCATCACGAGCAGACTCTCTGAACTCAAACATGCTTACCGATCATGGGAATGTCTGTCAGCGGTGTTGCTGAAGTCAGCTGTGGGCACGTTGGTGCACCAGAACTCCATTCTATTCTCGGTGAGTGTGCCAGTCTGGCAGTCTTGTCAGAGAACACATACTTGATGTGCCCTAGGTCCTTTTTATGTTGAGCATGCGGCACTAAAACTTGGCTTGCCGGTTGCCACTAGCCATCAAACATGTGCCTGTACTGCACAATGAAGAAGGCCAGCCCAACCCTCATGATCACCATGGAGATGTGCAGCGCAATGGGGATCATCACCTGTAACTGGATCACTGCCTTCAAGAACGTGAACACCACCTCCACAGCCATCCTGTACCAATTGTATGTCACAAGAAGTCCCTCTTGTGTAAGAACGGTGTGGTCACCAAACCAAGATGCCCATGAGGAGCAGCAGTGGAATAGAGGAACAGGACAACGGTGAGCTTGACGGTCCGGTTCATGTGCGTCTCCAGGCGTCTGTGCTTGGGCGGTGTGCCGGAGTTTTTAAGCATCACGTTGGTGCCCTGGCCTTGTGGCAGAGCACCTCAAGTGCCACGACGGCAAGTGCCATAGGCAAACGCCCGTCGTCATGGAGCAAGTCTGGAAATGCTGCGAGCCTGAACACAGATCCATTCTGTGGCTTCCGAGGCGGTAGAGGCTGGAACTTAGTTCCGTTATCCAAAAAAAAAGGGTTAAATTGGAGAAAGAGGCAGCAAGCTGGGCGTGTGAAGGGCAAGGACCGACGATTGGGAACGAAACAGTACCAAAAAAGATAGGGTGTAACCAGTGGCATTGGTGGGTAATTTTCCCCCAACTCCATGAGGATATTGAAAAATAGATTTCTGGAGCATCCTTTGAGGATAAGGACCAAATCCATGGATTTGGTCCCCAGATTCATGGAGTTGGCTGTGGCTGATCCAGAGTGGTGTAATTGGGGTGTTTGGGACTCCTTCCACTCCATGGAGCTGAATTTGGTGGAGTGGAGCAGTCCCAAACATGCCCACAATTAGCAATCTCAGAATTTGCAATCAGAAATGTAAATGTGGTTGATGCATGCCACTTCTTTTAAAAGATATCCAATATTTTTACTATCTTTAGTATAGGCATCTCTAGTTCCAGGGTATGTTTAGAAAACGATTCTTCTCGGATTCATTTCCTGACAGGAAAATTCAGAATGCCACCAGAATATGCAAAACTATGCGTCCACCACTAGGTTAAAATCTTGTTCTACTCGAATTATCTAATCTAGTCTGGTCCCTCATTTCAAGCAGCTGTCACCACCTAGATATCCTCTGGCAGTGTTTATACTTTGATGAGCTAGTGTTCATTACACACTCACTAATCAAAACATATAGCTTATTGGTTTACGACTTACAACGAAGAAAGGAGATAAGGAGCATACACCAAAGAAATCAATCAGTACAAATTCAGAATCGTAAGTGATTGCTTAACTGATTTTAGTGAGGATAAGGGGAAACATTCTAAAATAAATTCTAACTAATAATTCGTTGAGAGGGCTTACATGACTGGCAAGCATATAAATTATAAGGTTGAAAGCAGCACCAGCCCATGCTGTCTCTGTAATTATGCCAGCAGATCTCGTGATCTGAAGGTAAAGTGGTATTATTCGGAGCAGTCGAGGCACATACTGACAAATAATAATAACCAGTAGTACAATTTTTGCCTTCATAATTTCAGGACCTTTGAGAGTTGGCAGCACCACCAACACAAACACCTGAAAATGAAAAATCACAAGCAATTACAAGTTTAGTGGACAGATCCAAACTGAAAAACAAAGAGCAATTCAATCTAATAATAAGTGATCTGCAAAGCATGATAATGGGCATTAGCAGAACGAAGCATTGATCATACCATGTTCATGATAAAGAACAACCAGAATGTTCATGATTTTATCTACCTTTCAGGCACGTTTTGAAAGTAGCTCAAAGCATTGTTCATACCATGTAACTGGATATTATAGGCATTAGCTCAATACACAGCATGATAATTATGGAGTGCGCTAAACATATCATAGCTTATAATTCAAAAGGTGAAAAGTCCCTTCACTGATGCCATTTCTAGGCAGCAGATTTCCACCATAATTCAAAAGGTGCATGCCATGGCTGCGGCAACTGGAAACCATCCCAAGATAATTAATTCAGGCAAGTCCAGGTCAAACAATAAAGACCTCGTGGACAGACAGCACATCTCCCATTAGTTGCATCACAACCTAATGTTTCTTCTCTTCCCTCTCAATTTCTCAGACCAAAAAATTGAACCTCATGTTAATTCCCATGGTCAGCACTTTTTAATGTGTGCAAGTGTAACCTTGCAATTATGAGATGCATTAATTCAAACACAATAGTGTTGATTACCTCTTCTACATTTCTACCATTGCACTAGAAAAAACATACAAACCACAAAAAAAAAAATAGAAGAGAAAACAGGAAACAGTTTGGCATGGAGCGGATAAGGCACACAAGATCTGCTGTTGGCCAAGATTTTGCATCTACTTTGAATGGGAAATAGACAGATTTTTTGAACCAAGAGGAACTCAGTAACGAATTTTGTTCAGTGGAAGATAAAACCATCAGAAGAGAAGAGTTTTATATACAGCAAACAAAGAAAACCCGGCATGGGATTTAGGAGAACCAAAACCAACTGACATTTATGCATCACTATTCTAACGCTTGGTGCAGATCACCTAATCAGTAAGGTAACAATTTCCAGTTTTTCATTTTGTTGCACAGTTGCACCGATGGCTTCTGCATGCATGTCTTCTGTGCCTTTGGTGCATTGAAGTTCATTTAAGTAACCTAAAATTGCTAGCAACATTTTATCATAGCCCCTCATTCTTGTATAAGCGTTACCTAGAACTGAAGTGCATGCACATTAATATATTATGTTTATACAAAATACTAGCATAACAACTGTATGCCATTAGATACTCCTTCAGTCAAGGAAAGTACTTGACGTTTTGGATTACAGTCTCCAATATGTACTGTTGACAACTATTTTCTATTAGAGTGTATCCATAAAATGCAACAAATTTATGACATTATTAAGCATTTTTAGGGCATATCTACAAATATTATTTCCGTGATTTCAAACTAAATATTATAAAAGTTATTGGCAGTCTAAGTTTCAAAAGTTTGACTGGATCTTTTCCAAAAAGACAAGCAGTTGTGATCGGATTGAAGTAACTCCATTATGAATTGTTCACTAAATAGATGGCATATCAAGTACCTGAGGGAGGGGCAGAACAGCTAAGAAATCCACCAGGAACAGTGTTGATATATATCGCTTTGCTATTGCAAATGTGTCCTTAACCAAGACACCCCGACCGAACACTCTAGAAGAGGGAGCAATAAAGCCTGTTCTGAACTGAAATAGCATATGGAGTAAATAGAAGATATCTGTGAAAAAGCGCAGGATACTTGCTGCGGTTTCTAACTTCTTGTCCAAGTACAGGCAGTTGTTACCACCATCAATTACTGGGATATACAAGAACAATGGGTCCACAAAAACTGCAAAAAGACATGATATCACAAATATCTTGTTCCATCTCTGCAAAAATGGCCCTTGAGGATCAAGAACTCTTGTTTTGGACTTCTTTTCCTCTGGGCCTGCTTTGTTTAGAGCTTCAGAATGTGAAGAGTTCCCCAGGAATGAAAAGGCTCCTGCAGTTCTGTCCTTTAACAAGCCAAAGATGTTATGCCCTCTTTCTGAAACTACCCTATCTGAAATAACAGAAACAGATTGCTCCGATTTCCAGTCCTGAAACCTGTGCATGACAAAAACAACAGAAAAAATAGTAGTTAGGGCTCGTTTGGCAGGGCTCCTATTCCTCCCAAAACAGCTCCAGCTCTAGCTCCTTCAGAGAAGTCCCTTCTCTAGTGGAGCTGAAGCTCTTTTGGAAAACATTTGCTAGAACGACTTCTCTTATATTTCTAGAATGAATGTAAGGTAATGTCTATGATGTCCTGCTATTTTGCACCACGTTTGTGAGAAAGTGTTAGCACAAAAGGTGTTATGGGAACAAAGAAAAATGTCCCGAGCAAAAGAAGAAAAAATCCAATGTTCTAATTTTGAAGTAGAGAATGTTGTTTTTTTCAAAAACTCAAAATATATTCATGTCTGATCTTGTTTTATTGCATTAAGTGCAAATAACTTCATGATCAAAACAGATTTAAAATCGGTACATATTTGGAAGAAAGTTCCTTTCAAAGTTTCAAAATTTGTGCCATGTGAAGCAGGGAAAAGAACAGAGCTGTTGGAAGCCATAATTTCCAGCTCCATGCGTGTAGTACTGTAGTTCATTTTTTCCAGCGGCTTCTGCTGGCTCCCTGGCCAGAGCTGTTTTGTTCACCGGTGTTCGGTACAGCTCTTGGCAGAACTGGAGCCAGAGCAGATGCTCTTCGTAGAGCCCTGCCAAAGGGGATCTTAGGATATGTGAACTTTCTGTACACCATAGAATGAATCTGGCACCGTACATTTCCACTGGATTGATGTTTTCCTTTCAAAACTAAGATACCAAGTCACTAATATATTCTTGAGGCATGCTGAACTTGTGTCACTGTAGTGCAATTCTCACAACAAATTCAATGTCGTGCGGAACAAGGGGATAAATAAGAGGCTGACCAGCCTGACCTCACATATCTCTCCTCCCGGCCCGCCATGGCTTCCTTGTAACTCCAGAGGAGAATAGGCCAGCAGTGACGGCAATAGCTGATCAAATCTTCAACTGCAGCATGGAAGTATCAGCCTCCCTGAAAATCACCGACCACGAAGGTGTAAGAGCCTTCGAAAAGCAGATAGGGCAAAACATAGATTCTCAGTAACTGCCTAGCAGGCGAAATGGGTAAGAATCCTCGGGCATAAGCAAGAAGCAAACGAATGAGCAGCAGATCAGGGAAGGGACTATGTTTAAGTAACCAAGGTCAATTGAATCAAAGGCGGACCAAGTAAAAGCAAATTTTATTTTTTTTCAAAAAAAAATCGAAGTTAGTAGGCATGTATGCAGTTGTACTCAGATCAGATCCGAATACAAATAGCCAAATAACTTAATTGTGACGGACCAACGAAGACCTGCCGAAGGGACCGCTGAAGACCCGGGCAGCTGGCGTAGGGCGCCGGCGGCGGGGGTCGGCTGTCTCCCAGCTGCCGCACGGGAGAGAGAGCGGAGAAGCAAAAGGCGTCGGAAGCAATAGAATCCTCGGGCATAAGCAAGAAGCAATCCGGATCAGGGAAGGGACTATATGTAAGTAACCAAGGTCAATTGAATCAAAAGCGGACTAAGTAAAAGGACATTTTAATTTTTGCAAAAAACAATCGAAGTTAGTAGACATGTATGCAGTTGTACTCGGATCAGATCCGAATACAAATAGCCAAATAGCTTAATCGTAATGGACCCGACGAAGACCTGGTGAAGGGACCGACGGGCAGCGCATAGGGCGCCGGCGCCGGCGGTCGGCGGTCGGCGGTCGCCGTCTCGCCGAGCAGCCGCACGAGAGAGAGCGCGGCAGCGAGGGCGAGGAAGCAGACAAGTAGTACCGGATTGTTTGGTGAAAAGGCACTCCAAAGCGAGGCCGCGTTATTTTAAGGAGAACTGCTTGTACCGCGTACCATCAAAAAATTATATTTTCTTTTAAAGAAATGAGAATTGCCGAGTTATATTAAGACAAATTCCCTGTTTAACATAAAAAAAAACTTCCTCTCCCTGGGAGCATCTCCGTGAGTACGAGAAAACTCAAAAAAAAAACAGTTGCCGGGAGAGATACAAAACGTGTTTTAGGAAAAATTTAATCTCTAATGAAAAAAATAGTGGACTGGAAGAGGTTTTCCCTTTATTTGAGGGTGAGAGGCTATGATTTGAGAGACTGTAAAAAAAATTCTCATTTGAATTGGGTTTGGAGCACTGCTGGAACAAGATCTCTAAAATAACATTTTTTTTCTCATTAAAGCTACGGGAGTTCCCTAAATCACTTTCTAATCATTGGTTTTTAGTAAAATGAGAAGAAACCCCTCTCCAACAACTTCTAATCCGTCTTCCTAATCTTGTAGAACTAGAGAAAAGTCACCATGTTCCGCGTAAAGTTATGCGCTTTTGAGTCATGCTTATCTTCTCTCCCCGCGCGTGTTTGTCGGCCAATCTAAAGATGGAAGGGCGTGAAAAGAATAAAGAGTGACAAAGGGTTTCTAATACAAATGTACAAGAGAGAAAGAATATATAAAAGTAGTTATAATAATTTAGAAATAGTATAAGGACTCTGCAGAAGTCAAACTTCCAAGTCACCGTTGTTTTTTAAAAGTAGCGGTGTATGTTATAGATGAGATGAGTGTACGCATTTGATGGGTACGTGACCATGAGTTGGTGCCCTTTTTATAGCGAGGTGTTGTGGTTCAATGGACCGAGTGCATACATAGAAAAGCATCTAAACAATGTCTACATAGAAAAGCATACTTTGAGATTTGTCATTTTTAGAGCTGGTTGTACTTATTTAAATGGCATGAAATTTATACAGTAGACTATTGAGGCTATTTGTAGGCTCCTATAATTTTATCAGAATTTATTGAGCTTTGAAAATATTTATCTCTTAAATCACCCTATTATCTAAGGAAATTAATAAATGGATATAAATAATTTAGTTATGTTTAACCATGATATTTTCTATGGTTCTTGTGATGCATATGATATGTTTATGTTATTAGTTAGGATTAAAAGTAATTGGTTATATGCAACTAGTTAATTATTGCTTTATAATTCAACTAGATGGTTGCACGTATAGTTTCGGTTGAGTTGATAGTTTCATGATGATAATGGTCTTTTATGTAAAACTTGTTAATAACAAAGTTGTAGATAACTTACTGATCTACCTTATGTTAAATTTTCATAGTCATAGGACTTATGATTTAAGAATTATGGCTGTTAGAAGTCTGGTATCAGAAATGCTTGCTTTCTGAATAGATTTGAACGATTGAATTGTTTGACCTAGATAACTACTAAATCACACTAAGTGTATTAAAATAAAGTTATAGATAATTTCATAAGCTTTCTAGAATATCTACAACCATATTATTTTGAGATTTATAACTCCAGTTATGGTCAAAACAAGTGGCTGTTGTCTTATAGTCTAGAAAATTATTTACATAAGTGTTTGTTTATTTATTAGAAAAGAGATATGCACCTACTCAGTAAAATAAGATGCAACTTGTTATTACTTAATGCAAAGTCACTGAAAACACTTGTGAGGATGCATTCATTACATCATACCATATTATACATATCATCATATATGCATTCATGATATCTTAATTCATGCTCATGCATATAGGATCGTCCGAAAAAATAACTTTGTTGGAGTTCAACGAAGAAGAGGAGGAGGATCAGTAGGAGATGCCTCAGGCCATAGCTCTAGGAGAATAGGAGTAGACTCTCGAAGATCTCCCTGAGTGTCTGGATCACCGGTCAACCTCTTTCCTCAAAGGCAAGCCCTAGAGCATTCTAAGTCTCCCATGTTTTATGAAATAATTACTTGAGTCCTTTATGTTTGAAGCATTAGGTTATAAGAGTTCATTGGAAACACTTGATGCATAGAACTACCTTATCTAGATACATATAACTTTAATCTTGTGTAGGTCTAGGATCGAATATATGCTTAGCCATGCTTAAATCGGTAGAAGTCGGGTGATTTCCTGTCACCTACGAGACATAGGTGGATGCCGAAGCACGGTTGGCTATATTTGCTATCATGGAAAAGAATCATGAGGTAATGTAAATGAAGGCCGAGCAGAGTCTCTGTGTAGGTTAACTCATGTGATTCCGTCTGTGCCGATTATGGACCGTACCATTGTTAGCCCTTCTAACAAGATTGAACACATGCCTATCACTTAGCTGGCCGGATAACTCGTTCTGACCACAAAGCCGAGTAGCTCAACTTAGGCTAAGTCCCATTCTGTAAAAGTGCGCACTCTAGATGGTAGTAAGGATGTGCGGGGAGCCAGGCATGAGCCCAAGGGCAGGGTAGTCCTGATCGTCCTGGCAGAGTGACAGCTGGTTGTCCCTGATTGTGCGGCGCTGGTCGAACCCACGAAATGTGTACCTGAGTTGTACCAAAGGTGACCATTGATCTGGTCTGCCTGGGTTTGTGTTAGGAATAAATTCCCAGCTGGTTGAAATCGATTCGAATGGCCGTCTCTCCCGGACAGTGAGAAACTTGGCTAGTACCAACATTGTAGTAACTATGTTATGGAATGTGTTGATTCGGATGAACATGAAATTACTACACCGGCTATGATTACTATTGTATGCTCCTAAATGATATACTACTTGTTTGGCACAGGTTAGTTGCTAATCTAGAGATGAATAGTTATAATTAACTTGATGACTGAATTATAATTGTACAACTGAGTTAGTCGTTTTTATGCAAAATGTTGTCAAGCTACCTCCACTTATAAAGCCTTGCATAATCCTTGGAGTCCCTTAGTTTTTGGTTTATGACGGGTAAGTCTAGCTGAGTACCTTCTTGTACTCAGGGTTTTATTCCCATTGTTGCAGATGGTATAATTTATCACGGCTATTGCCAGAAATGCTTCTGTTCCGTCGTGGATGAGGAGTGAGCCCTAGGCAGGCATATCTTATTAATCCTTCTCATATTGTTTTGTGGGAGTTTGATCACAAACTGGCACTATGTATTTGAACTATGATGGCAGATATTAGTTTCAAACTTTAAATTTGCTTCTGCTACTATCTACTGAACTTGGTTTGTAATAACCTTAATTCGTACTCTAATGAATAAACTGTGTTTGTGAACCTTATGTAACATGTGACATATATGTTGAATCATGTATGATCTTGGTTGTATGTTGATGGTTAATCGAGACCCATCGCGGTACTCGATGAACTACCGGGTTTATATGAGCTCAAGTATAACAGTACGACCGCTTGCGGGCTACCATTGTACTTATGCTCTTATAAATTGGTCGGTTCTGCTACAGGACACGTCCAATATTTGGACCCAAGGTGAGTGACTAAGTGAAAGTGATCGGACTCGAGCTCAGTGGAGTAACTAGACGTTGACGAGTTACTATTTAGCATCAGGTCAAAGTGATATAGGTCGATGTAGGATTGTAGAGAGCGACCGGACACGTCCGGTCGTCGCCACACCGGACGCGTCCGGTGTAAACCAGTAAGTCTTAGGTTTTCAGCGCAATAATTCATCGGACGCTAGGAGCGTCCGGTCCGGTGTGATCGGACATGTCCAGTCGACCCAGAGCGGCTCTGGGAGCTTTCTAGACTAGACCGGATGCTGCATCTCCCGGGTCCAGTCGTTTTCTAATAGCATGTCCGATCACATAGTATTACTGTGCACAGAGATAGTCGTTGGGTGCCAATGGCTAAACAATTTGAAAGGGACACATGGCGGTCAGGCTACGACCGGACATAGCGACCGAACGCGTCTAGTCACCACACCGGACGTGTCTGGTGCACACAACCTGCATGTTCATTCATCACGCGGTCAGCCCAATAATTGAGCCAACGACTCTATTGTTTGGAGGTGTCTATAAATATGATTTGGCCAGCTCTAGCTCACCCTCTTTGGCCATTTGCATTGACATAGCAACCTTGTGAGCTTAGCCAAAGCCCTTCCACTCATCTCCATCATTGATTCATCATCTT